TTTTTTTTTTTTTTTAACTCGTGTTTGGCTAAGAATTTGAACATGGCTCAGAGGCAAAAGTTGCTTGTATTATTTTTTTTACATAACTTTTTTTTTTTTCCAGATTTTTTCAAGTTTTTTTCTAAATATATATTTTTATGTGCGCGTTTGGAGGGGTTTTGGCGGTCGTTCGTGATGTTCGGGTTCGGTCGCCGAATGCGAACACAATGCTACACAGCTTTTCACAAGGAACTTGAAGGAAGGCATTTTTTGTGCTTTCTACTTTTCACAAATACAAGGCTTGCAATGCTGACAGGAATCAAATTGTCCTCACTTAAATTCAGGAATTCATTAATGTCCAGCTCTCTTGCCCGGCAACAACCCAAGTATCTCCGATCGATATGACAACTCTGCCTTGAAATGATTATTTCGAAATATTTGGTCACTTTGGTCTTTTTTTTTTTCTTTTTTTTTTTTTTTAATCTTTTTGTGACCATTTCTTGATGTATGCATGACATCCTTGTGCAGGGGTCATGCATGCTGATTTTCTGTTTATCGTTTTAATTTGAACAGATGTCGTGAAGTACCTATGGTGATTGCAGGGTTTACTTAGATGCAGAGTTTCCACTTCATGTTGGAAAACACAAGTAGCAAGTGGATGCTGAAAGAGCCAATGGACCAGCGGCAGCAACTCTGCATTTTTACTGAGATTAGTGAGATGTACGTCACCGGGGCTTTTTTTGCCGACCTGGATTCTTCTGCTGTGTGCCAAAAGCAACTCTGGATTTTGCCGACCCGGTGCCAGCCTCCGTGGCCTGCTAGTGGGGCCACCCGAAGTGTGCTCCCGAAACAGGTATGCAAAGACAGGCGGTGGGCGCTGCGCTGGAGCATTCAAAGAGGATGAATAGTGCAGGATTTAAGTATTAAATCGTCCTACATGGATGGGACTGGTTCGACCGGGGAACATTTCTATCGGGCCCAGGTTCCACTAGGGGCAGGGGGGGCAGTTCCACAACGGAGTTGGATGATCCACGCCTGCGCAAAATGGGAGAACCGAGGGCATGGGCATTCCCGGGCTGATTCAGGAGAGGGAGAACCCACATCTTTTTTTTTTTTTTTTTTTTTTTTTTTGAGAAACACACCCTCGAACGCACATCTTAGAAAAAGGATTCGGAAATATTTTGTTAGTTGAATAGCAATGAATACATATGTGCTGGTTTAGTGCAATTGCAGTAAATGAAGTCATAAGATGTACATGGGGGTGCCATCTTTGTGTTTTCTATAGTTCTATTATGTATGAACTTTGAAGCATCCGTAAATGATACGTGAAGCTTGGAAGACATTTGGCATTCACGGATGTTGCTAAGGGAAGATATATAAAAAGTGCTGTTGTGGTTTGGGGGGTGGGGCAGCCTCCTCCCTCCCCTTAAATGTTCAGCTAAGCGGTATATTTACCCCCTACTTAATAGCCAGCTACCGAGCTGTTGTGATCAACCTTTTGTAAATGGAGTTCTCTCTCTCTCTCTCTCTCTCTCTCTCTCTCTCTCTCTCTCTCTCTCTCTCTCTCTCTCTCTCTCTCTCTCTCTCT